GCCAGAAGATATGCCAGATAGAATGCCAAATAGAATGTCAGAAGATATGTCAGATAGAATGCCAGAAGATTTGCCAGTAAGAAAATGTATAAATGTCATGGTGGGGATCACACGAAGTAAAGTAATTTTAATAGTAGGATCTATTTACTAATTCTCAGGGGTATTTATAAATCAAATGATGTTCATATGATTATATGGGTTTTGGTACCTGAACATGATGGAAACAAACAAAATCCGATGGTGTATCATGCGGAAACCGATATTGGGATTAATTTCTGGCAATTTAGCATATGTATGAAAAACCCATCATGTTTGGTGTATATATATATATATATGTATAGGGTCCTGATTATCATGTTAGATTACCAGAGGGCATCACCAATGACAAGATTGATAATGTAGATATGTTTCATGGTTAATATCATAATTCCATCAGTATGGCACGGTTAATATGGGTACGTCTGGAAATGGTGTATAACCCACAGTCATGGCCATTTTGATAAGGAAACATAAAACATATGATGGACCAGTGGATTTGGAGGTCCCGTAGCCTATTTTCAGACGACCCATATGGCCTCACTCAAACATTGTCTGGTTGGTGGTTTGGAACATGTTTTATTCTTCCATATATTGAGAAGAATAATCCCAACTGACTAATATTTTTCAGAGGGTTGAAACCACCAACCTGTTGTGATTTTAGTAATCAAAGATGTTGATTGATGATCAAAGCACTCAATGACTTATTGCCGGTGAACCTCCCAATCTTGTTATATCTCGTTATTGGCTTTGCCTTTTACCTACCCCGCGTTTTCCAAAATTGCCGGATCTGAGGCCCATTCCAGCAACGGGTTCTCCTTGAGGCAAACCGTTGATGATCCTAAATTGGAAGTTTATGTGGGTGTGTCTGAAAATGTACAATATGATATACCAAATATATGGTATATACCACCAAAAAATAACTGGTTATAATTTTCATCGGGAAGACGATGATCAACTGCAGAGGTTTGGGGATTTCAGTGCCTTCATCCCAGGCGGCCACTGAACCTGCCTTCACAGGCAAAACAACCAACGGCTATGTGCCATGGCATGGATTGTAACCACAACCATGGCATTTTCATGGGGAATTTTGGCCATTGGATTGTTCTTTTTGTGGGGTGCTCCCATAATTTCCAGGCACCAAAGCCATGTGAACCATGAAAGGATGGTGATGCACCCCAGCATTGCATTTTTGAGGTAAGAAGACTGGAGCAAAGCGGACATATGACATGACGAATGATTCATGGGGATGCGAACAGGGGAGAGGTCCAAAACTTGGAAAATAGGAATGGGAGGCATTTGGGAGGCCACGATAGGCCGCGGGTCACAGCCAGATCAGATCATACAGTGCGCAGCAAGTCAGGAGCAAACACCTTGTGTAGAACTTAGGACACAATGTCACAAAGAGTTCTTTTTCTCCCAAATGAAGATAATGAGGTAGTGGACTTTGGACTGTTCAACAATGTTCAAGATTCATTGTGTTTTTGGAGTCAGGCATTCTGATGTTGCACGTTCCTTGCCCCTATAGCTGCCAAACGCGCCCGGATATATCCAAATCCTCAACTGCATACGTAGTTTTGTCCGACAATAAGATAAAATAAGGTATCCCCAAATCCAAAGGTTATCATCATGTTCCCGGTAGAAACATTTTTTGGGGGCACACCCATTCTCAAACTCAGCCAAGTGTATAAAAAAAAAACATTAAAAAACTTATCTGTCACTGGCGATACCATGGGATCTCCCATATACCCTCTGGTAAACTAACGTCACCAAGGAAAATCACCATTTTTCATAGGTAAATCAACTATTTCTATGACCATTTTCAATAGCTATGTTAAATTACCAGAGGGTAGATAGCGTTTTTCGCCAAGGCATGGGACAACAAAGAGCAGGGAGTCTACGTGTCACCCATCAGTGGTGCCTTGGATGTCTGGGAATCCAGGTTGCTTCTTGTGCAGCGGTTTCCAAAAAAATTAATCACTCTGGAGCAATTCTATGGACCTCAGGATGTTGACGGAAAACTGGAATTATGAATTGAACTTATCAAGTTGACTATGAAAACAGCTTGTGTAAGATGTTCAAGTTCAGTGTTTATATTGGACTGCCATTCAAACAGAAAATTTGATTACCCATGAAGGGAAACGAGATGATACACAGATCTCAAAGGACACCAGCCACGAGCCAGACGGGCATCTGGCGCATTGCTGTGTGGATGGGTTTGATAGTTGGACTCCCAGTTTTGGGCCAAAATTAAAGCCGAACATCTTCAAGAACCTGAATCTGTGTGTACTCTGAGTCTTGATGGTATGTTGACCAGCTTTACATGGAGCATTTCTCAGTTCTCCAGTCATAGACAATGGGGTAGATGCCGCGGAAATTGTTGGGGCTCAGTGCAGTTTGATCGAACCTGGGTTTCCTATGGTTGGTAAATCGAGAGTTTATTGTAGGTTCTCCACTGAGTCAAGTCAGTGAAGGAATGCAAGTACTGCTTTCGATGTACAATACCCAAATTTGTTCACATCCCCATATCAGGTTGCTTTGATCTATCCACTATGGGATTGCCTTGGTACATGTACTCCTGTGTGTGTGTCTAAATCATGATTTGTGTTGATCAAACTGTTAGTAGCGTAGGGGATCCTATACTTGCGTTGGTTAAGCATGCTTATTGGTTAAACCACCATGTTTACTGTTTAAACCATCATGATTATTGGTTAAACTGTTACTCTAGCCATTGATTGTATTTGTTGAACCGCGCTGAAACAATCATGTATTTGCGCTCAAACAATCAATTTCTATTGGTGAAGTTGTATGTTTGATTCTTGAAACATCTTGAAACAAAATGTTAAATCTCTATGTTTGTTTAAAAGGAGAAACAATGGTACACCCCCATTTATATTGGTGAAATCCAAACAATTCATAATACTTCCACATGCTTGGTCATGCAAATCCCAATGTTTGTTGGTGAACCTCCTTCCTTAATGCTGGCTGTTCTCAAGGTGAGCCACTATTCTCCTCCAAGGCCAAATACAACAGCCAGCTGGTTACCAGGGATGGGACAGGTGATATATCGCAAGTCATCTATATGGATATGAGGCATATGGCATCGGGATGAAATATGAATATGATATAGTGGAATGTACCAAGTTGTGGACCAATGGTAACATATAACACATATATATATATATACATATAAATAAATATATATATATGTTTATATATATATACATACATATATATATATATATACATATATTTAATTATATATACATTTATATATACATATATATAAATATACGTATATATATACATATATTGATATATATATACACATATTTATACATATATATACATATATATATATTTACATATTTAATTATATATACATATATATATGCATATTTTTACATATATATATTTACATATATAGATATATATCTACACACATATATACATATATATATACACATTGTTTTTTTTTTCGGCGAAGTCGTCCTAAATCGCAATGTCAAAAGATTGGTGAATCAATGTTGTTTGGGCAATAAGTATTCATGTCTGAGCAGTGTCGGATCCCATACATGGATGATCTACGTGATTAACAATTTGGACAATCCCGAAATCCATAAATCCAGCACGACCCGATGACGAAATTGAAGACCTCCAAATATGGAAGATGGTTATTTGATTGATATTAATTTTAATTGTTACTTGATTAAACCAAATATTCATCAAATTAAGAAACTGCTTTGGTTATTTTTGATTAGTCAGAAGAGGCTGCTGCGTCCAAAGGTTTATCATAAGTTTCCCTACCAAAGTGATCATAAAATCGAGTAATCCCCATCTCTGGACAACCACCTATGCCTATCGCCATGTGTTTGCAAAATGCGACGCGTGTTTTATTTTCTAACCAGATCTTGAAAGGTTTATGTCCCAAAAAACATACAGTAAAACATAGTACAACATCTAAATGTTGCAGCAAATGTTCATCATCTAAGCCACACTTAAACCCTGGCCCAGAACTCTGAACCCGAAATGGTTTTGTCTGAAAATAGTGTACCCCCAAACGCAAATGTTGTTCTTCATTGTCTCATTAAAGCATGTTAGTTGGGGGTATACCCCATTTTCAGACACATCCAAAAATCATATGCGTGGTGAATATCCCACTATTGTTCCATGTTTTTCCCATCAGCAGATGATTTTCCACGAGCTATCCCATTCAAGTAGCCATGTTCAAAGCACACCCATGAATCATATCAAGTTGGCCGGAGATATCCCATGAAATTTCCGCATGTTATACAACTTATACCCCCACTTGTGGTTTGATATGACCATGTCTGGATAAGTCCAAATCATCCCAAATCACCTGTGAAATATCCCCTGTGAACTATTTGTATAATGGGACAACATATCTATTCGATATTTCAGATGTACTAATTTTACTAGTTATTCATATCGAATTACTTCTTTACATCCTGCGAAACATCCCTAAAGAGTCCCGAGAGACTCATATCATCTAACGTTGCTATAGTTACATTCCCCAAAGATACCCATCCTATCACGGTCATTTGCCATTTTACATATCCCTATAGAGTTCATATCCCTATAGTTATATCCCCACTATAGTTATGTATATATATACATATATATATACACAGTTATATATATATATATGTACAACTATATATATAATATATATATATATATACACATGTTCCTTGTTATATCCCATGACTTCTCCCATGACATGTCCCACGTCTCCTTAAGGTGGCACTGGCTGGCCCAGTTTCTGGGCGCCGGTGAGTAGCGAGACAGTGCTGGAGCGGACGGATCCCAACGACATGGAGGCGACGGGTGTCCATGGGCGACCGTTCCCCTGGAAGGTATGATAGTTAGATATGGTAGGATAAATATCATAAAAATCATCACTATCATAGATTACTAATAATGATAGGATGTTAGGATGATAAAAATAATATCACATCATATGATGGGATGATAATAATCTCACTAGAAATATTGTAGTTAGACAAATAGATAGGATAGTAATCCCCTCATGATAGTTAGATATGATAGTTAGACAATATATGACCCCCTCGTATTGTTAGGGAGATATGATGCCAGATGATGATTGTTAGGATAAATAATTATCATGAACATGAATCTTCATAGGGTTAGGAGGGGGAACAAGAATCCCAATACATGTATATATATATATATATTTAAAAAAAAATGAATATAAATATAAATATATATACATATATATATATATATTAACCATGGTTTATAATGAAATAATCCGAACTTTTCAGGTGAGCGAGTGAATTATGAAAATTTTCCCAGGTAGGTTGGCATCTGGGGTTTAACCATGGTTTGACCAGGGTTATAACCATCGTTTAACCATGACTTTCCCATGGTTTAACTAGGGTCAACATAACATATGAAGATTTCATGAGATATTCATGGCGATATTTTGTGGTTTCCAACTTCCAACTAACCAAGAGGGATGATTATAGGATATAACCATCAACAATGGGGATTTTGAATGATTATGATGGCATTATGATGGGAACTGATTGTCGACAATGGGATTAATGGGATTGATTCACTGGATGAGTGAAAATGACTATTTTAATTTTTAGTCGGATATTTTGTGGAGTCATCATGTAGATTTTTAATTTGATGTGATATGATAGGGATATACGTATACAATGATATATATATATTCACATATACATACATAAACATACACATATATAGTCATCAGACATTGGGGTACAACTATACTCTTTTGAGGGATGTGTTGTCTGATATTTCATGGGATATATAAGCAATTTTGACACGATATGGCTGTGATTGGAAAAATTGTTCGTTGTATGGTATGTAAAGGTAAAAACATCTCTAAATGTATTTCATGGAGATTCAATAGGTGACATGATTCCGACAAAATATGAGATTTTATTCTGCCAGCAATGAAATTAAGTGGGTTAAACGGTGCTTTCAACGAGAGTGAAAATTCAATCATGAAACATTGTGATTTTTCATTGAATCATTGTGATTAAACAGTTGTTTTGTCAGGTATATCCCCATATTTTCCCCATATCACATTGGGATGATGGTGATAAATGGTGATGATGTACCCTCCTTGGTAATTTAACATAGCTATTGAAAATGGCCCATAGAAATAGTTGATTTACCGAACTTAAAAATTGTGATTTTCCATAGCTATGTTAGTGTACCAGAGTGTATTTTTCAGTGACAATATGGGGATTTTATGAACCAACATTGCGACACAAAAAACGACGACCTTCCTGGCCGACACAATGTGAATCATGGGAATGACACTGTGGAGAACATATCCAAATGACCAAACATCTCAGGTTGGTGGAAAAACATGTTTTTATGTGTGTATATATATACAGTTTATATACAAGTATGGACGTAAGTATGTGATTTAACTAACTAACCCCAAAGTGAGATTTAACCAACAGACAAAAAAACACCATTGAATTGAATGTGTTTTTTTTGACCGTTAAAGGGTGGAGAACGGTGGTTTTTTTTTTCATATTTTATCCATTGACCTTTTAACTTGAAGATGATCCTGAACGACTCTCATATTTTTTCACTGTAAGGATTCAGCCTTGATAGTCCGGCTGTACCACAAACTGGTTGTACCAACTCTTAATGCTAGTTGTGATGTAGTTGTACACTTCGGATGCATGTATGCGATCAAACTAGTTGTACCAACTATTCAACCTTAACTAATGGCAACAAAAACTTAATAATGTGGGAAAAACCATGTCATAAACCATCCATGACTGGGAATGGTAACCATGCCACCTATGAAAATGGTGATTTCGGGGATTGTTTCTAGCCTTGTTTTAGCTGACGTCGTCCAATACTGCCCCGGGGAATTTGCTAGTTTTCAATAAAGATGGGTTGGGGTGGGGTGGGGTAGGATCTTAACGTTCATGGTACGCTGCTGATGATGTTACGCTGCCCGTTCGGGGTTGGGGTGGGGTGGGGTGGGATGTTAACGTTCATGGTACGCTGATGATGTTACGCTGCCCGTTGGGGTTGGGGTGGGGTGGGGTGGGATGTTAACGTTCATGGTACGCTGATGATGTTACGCTGCCCGTTGGGGTTGGGGTGGGGTGGGGTGGGATGTTAACGTTCATGGTACGCTGATGATGTTACGCTGCCCGTTGGGGTTGGGGTGGGGTGGGGTTGGGATGAATATGTAGATAGATAGATAGATATATATATGTATATATATATATATATGTATATGTGTGTGTAAACGGCTATCAATTCAAGCCGAACTTATTCATTTGTCGTCATTCACATGTCGTATTGAGCTTCGATCTTGGAGGCAGTAGCATCTCCCGGATTTCATTTATGTGTGTCAGTTTGGCGAGATTCAGTTTGCGGTAATTAATTTTGCAAGAATTCATTTCTGCGAGCTTTCAGTTTGCGAGATACGAATTTTGATAAATTACGAACCAGTAGCAGGGGGCCAGCGCATGGCATCACGACGCTGGCCAACGAAGCTAGTGATGTCATGGGAAGCAGTTGGAGACGTCCAACTGTGTACCTGCAAAGAAGTTTGAAACTTTTGACAAGCTGTCATCCTTGGTATGTTTTGAGAGTCCTTTGAACTGCAATGTGTATCATGTTGGCAAGTTCACCCTGTCAGCACGTGTGACGTCCGATCTCGTAAGGCCACTTAGGTTCATCAAGGCGTATACATCTTCATCACCATATCGAATCTCATCGCGTTCCTTACGGAACCATATCTCAGTGTGTGCATGCCTGTTTGTGTCAGGTTACACACATATATATATATATGGATATATAAATATATGTATATATACTTGCATATATGTATATAAGAATCAGTGTAAATGTCCAAGTCTGCAAGGTATGTGTCTATGTCTGGTCTATCATGTATGCAACACGATCCCAACATATTGCTGTCTTCCAAGCGTTTTTTTTTCGCTGATTTGCACATGGGTTTGTAAAACCCATTGGAAATAGCACAAAATGGACACAAAGTGCTGTAAAACGCAAGGCATTTGAACATGGCGCAAAATCCATGGTGACAGAAAGTGCCATAAGGGTTATCGAATAGCAAGATGCTTGTTTTCAAAACAAACAAAAACAGCGGGACCGCAATGGACGACGTTACCTTGTTTTAACCACATCAAACCACCAGTACCACCCCTGGGTCATGACGTAACGCTTGCTGCAGTCCTTGCCGCAGATCTTCTGGCGTACCGAGGTGGGGAAATCCTGTTTCAATTTCCCTAAAAATTGAGTGTCAGGCATTTAACCCCCACTTTGGTTATATCTATATAAATATATAGATATAATATAAATACATATATATATATATACACTGAATGATATTTTTCAAAACTGTTTGGCAAATCCGATAAATTCCCACTTTATGTTGGTTTCACACCCATTTTCTTTTGCCGGTTGAACAGTTGAACCCAGCGAGCGAAGTTCATCATCAGTTTCCCCAGAATCCATGGTACTATAGAATGTCAACATTTACTCTCATGTACTTAGATGATCCCATATCTATATATATATATATATCCAACATATTATAGTACAATATATATATATATGTATATGTATATTCACCATTTATGGATTTTCATGGTCCAATATATCCCATCCAATATCTGCAGCATGTAAAAACCCGATCCAGGTCCTGGACCGTGCTTCAATGACCCACCTGGGTCACGTCTTTAATGATGGACCTGAGCCCACAGGACGGCATAGCGTTGAAAAACGTTGGGAAGAAGAGGAGACAGCTCCAAATATGGGAAAAAAATTGAGATATAGAATGGAGATTTCATGGGGCTATGACTCGGTTTTTCCAAGGGTTTTGTATCCATTGTATCCATTCATGGATTTCTATGGAAATTTCATTCATTTGATTCAGTACATATATATATATATATACTGTATATATGTTATACTATAATATTGTGGATATATATATATATAGATATATTGGATCATCTAAGTACATGGATAACATCTCTTGGTATCACCCGATTTTCTTGAACGGATCGCCCTGATCATGGCTGGCTCGGAGCTGCCGGAGAGCATCGCTGACGGTTCGTTGGAAGGTGCTCAAATCCAGTGGAAATCCAATGTTGAGGTAGTTAATATCAGTTGTTATCTAATGGTTGGTATATACCCTAGATATCCATTGTTCGTTTTTAAGAATGGTTGAGGTAGTCACTTAGTCCATGGCCGAGCGAAGAACCCCGAAGTGCTGATGATATATGTTTGATGGTCACCCCAATTATAGCTGGGTATTTGGCCCTGAACCATCATGACGAAGTAGGTGGAAAGTTTCCCAAGCACGCAACCTTGACGTCCCAGACGTGTTCGGAGAATGAAACATGGTGGAGAGCCTAGCATACAGTTCCTCCAAGAAGGTGGATAAGTAGCCAAGCACATGCATCGATTTTGCTCAAAAGGCAATATATTTAACATGTCAAAACAAATCTTGAAATGTCTTGGACATATCTGAAAAGAACATAGAAGAACAACAAAACATATTTTTTGTCGACCTTTGGCATGTGAAGAATGTCGGGAAGTGTTGGGTGCCCCAGGGCCTCACCTTGATGCAGGCAAGCGCTACTGCATCAACGCAGCAGCTTTGAAGTTTGTGCCACCTGGCAACCGGAAGATGGGGGGTGTCCATAACTAAAACCTAAAGACCTAGTGACACGAAGCATGGTTCTTGATGACGGTGTGAAATATAGTAGGTGTGTAATCTTAATTGTTATTATCAATATTATCACGTCTCAATTATGATCAATATTGCTATTATATGTTCTCATGGTTTATCATACAGTAAAAGATTGTATTATGTTATATCAATATCATAGCATATTATGTTATATCATAACATAGTATGTTGTCGAAAACAATAAAATAGTTTCTAGTTCAGATGGGAGTTGTTTTTTCTGACAAATCAATGTCACATTTGCATAGCTTCTCCGAATTCTGCCATTTGAAGCCGACACCATTTGTTGATGCATCCCACATTTGTCATGTTTTAAGGTCTCAGAGACTCCCCAAACTCGCTTCGGGAGAAAAGGGCAGATGGCGGGAAACCCTTATGACTGTTGTGCGTCAACTTTGATTTCTTAGGCAGGTGGCTTATGTTTATGTGTCAAACAAAGTAAAAAATGACTATACCCAGTCAAAGAATACTAAGTACATATGGCTATGGGTCAAAACCCTGATACCATTCTGTTCACACCAGCATAGCTGGGATTTTGCGGGATGTGCATTCCTCAAAATATGATGAAATATGGTTTCACAGGTAATAGGTGTTGATCAGTTCCTATCTTACTCTTAATAGGCTATCACCTTTTCTACTATACCTATGAAATGTCAACTAGGCCATGGTTATCCCCGTTGATCCATAAAATCTCAATCCCAATATCTGCTCACGCCTAGGCCGGGGGAAGCCCCGGCGGGTGACCCAAAACAAGCGTCCAAACGGACCTTGTCCCTCTTCGGCTGAGTTAAGGAGACCCCGGTCCCGGCAGATTTTGATGTAAGACATGGATAATGAGCCGAAATCTCGGGGAAGATTGGGCAATTGTGGTACTTCTGTTTAGTTTATCTGATATTTGTAATGAATAATCCCTAAATGGGTGGAATTGATGAAGATTGGCGTTGGTTTCTGGTTTTGGGTCCCCAAATTGGTTACTGCAGATGCGGCGCTTGCTTCGTGGCAAGTGGGAAGGTTCCCTCGATTTTCCAGTCCGTCGACTCCCAAAGACCTGGCTGACGCGATGCGAAAAATGGGAGATGTGAGACCTCAAGATGGGTTGAAAATGTGGGAGACACAGCAACCCCCCAAAAAAAGATGCTGAAAAGTTGACGAAACTTTGGGGACAACTCTACCATCATGGAAATAATTACTGTTCTATTTTTTTGGGGGGTTATCCACCACTAAGGAGGCGATTTGACCACTGCAGTGTTTCACAGGGACTTCACGTGCGCTCCAGGTGGGCGAGTATCGCATCAACCTCACGCTGGAACGTCTGGGAGCCTAGCCCCAAATCCAATGGTTTAGCAGTTGATACCCTCTGGTAATGACTAGCAGTTCGCTATTCAACATGGCCCATAGAAATTTAGTGATTTACCCACTAAAAATGGTGATTTTCTACAGTTATGTAAACGTTTACTAGAGGGTAATCCTGTTTTTTTTGGTTCCCATTGTATACCGGTAGAATATTCCAAAGAAGGCCATGGGGCCATAAACCAAGGCGCAAAGCGCCGGTCGGATGGTTCCGTTTGCCGACCATCCCCACAAAGCTGTCTGGGGATTAACCACCAACTCGACGCGTCGGACTGGCTGGTTTCCAACCTCTTAGATATCTAGATTATAAATGTCATTAATTAAGTATCCAAGACTTGGATGATGTGATGTGACATTTTGTCAGGAAGCCCCTATATCAAACAGGGTAAAACCCCATGGTAAAACCCATAGTTTCAGATTTTCCAACGCTACCAGGTGAACAGATTAAAGACAGCGAGACGTGCCTTGGATGCCTAGTCGAACCTGAGATGGAACGTTGGAAACTCACCTAAATTCTCGTGGGATTTCCTGGTTTCCAGGTATATAGATTATGAGAGGGTCATTGATAGACTGATGACTGATGGTTCTCATGTGCCATGGACAGAGCATTCAATGCATTTACCATGTTGAAACGTTGAAACCCGTTAAAAACTGTTGTTCTGCCGCAGCTTCGGCGAATCAGCGACTGCCAGACATCTCTCGATGAAGTCAACTGAGTCAACTGAGTCAACTGAGTCAACCGAAATTCGCAACCAGCAATGAATTGATATATGGCAATGTTCATGATATGTTATAGCATTATATATATATATACACTACCATTTTATACCATGACCTGGCCATCACTTTCCCCATTTTTTTGCCACTGCTCCTTGGCCTGGCCCACCCACCTGTACGTGTTCTAGGTATCCGCATCGGACGCCAGAGGAGGAAGATGCGTGAGCCAAGCTCAGCCGTGAAAACATGGTGGATCTGGATCTGATATGATTTCTATAGATGCTAGGGTTTGAACATCAGGTTACCATCAGGGTTTTACCATCAGGGTTTCTATGATCTCAGCCTCTGATTTTTGACCATCAGGGATTTACCATCTGGTTATTCAACACAGCCATGGAAAATCCACCCATTTTATAGCTAGGTAAACCATCTATTTCTATGGGCCATTTTCCCATGGCCATGTTAAATAGCCAGAGGGTAATAGAAATTTCATGGCATAAACAAAATCGTCAGGTCATTATTGTAGCCTATATTATCCTATATCATGTATGTTTTTTTTTGTGTGTTGTATCTGTGATGCCATTTTTCATACATGACATGTTGGCAATCAACCATGGCGGGCCGGGCTCATCGAACATCCATCCTGTTGTGACACAAAGTGACTGGGGTCAACAAGGATGGTCCTGACCAAGCTTATTACCATGGATAATACATCATTTGAATTTTGGGTATACAAAAAAAGGGTACTCGTACGTTGTTTATCTATGTTTATCCCTAAATGATGTATTACGATATTATATTGTTTGTATACTGTAATACGGGACAACCCCCACATTGTCTTTGCTGCCGTTGGTGCCAGGGACACCAGTCAGTACGGTTTGAGTCGCCAAGAAGACGACGGACGGGCCGGGAAACCCACGGGGAAAGCCGGGAGAACCAGGAGCTTGGGATTGGAACAAACCTAAATCGGGGTTTCAATGCGTACCGGCGTGCCAAATCAATCTATTATATTTATTTGACAGAAATTGGAAGTCTAGTAAAAGAAAAATGGGTCTAGCTCATAGGGAACAGAGGCTTAACATGGCTTAATCCCAGTTACTTGATTTATCCAACAGACATTGGGAGTTTAACCAATGAGAACAAGTAGGAAATTATACCTCAGATTGCTACATTGTGATTAGGTTAAGCATCACTGTGAGTACAAAGACACAGACGCCTTAGCGTCGAAACATCATTTGTGGGGAACGTGAGTTGCCCATGTCGGGCTTACGGTTTATCTTGAAAAAACGGTGGCTTTTCAGGGAACTGCTTCACAGTTCACCACCAGCCAACAGAAGCAGCTTGTATAAAAATGATGTTATGCTGCATTGCATTGTATTGTTATGTCATTTTTCTCTTGGGACTGATGTTCCCTGATGTCAGATTGTCAAGATGGAGACAATGGTCTCAGTATTTCCCAAATTGCTCAAACCAGGGAGAGAGGACTGCGAAGCTGGAAGGTGATGTCAAGCTGACTCCAGTGAGCTGTTCTTGGTATTGAAATATGGCACTTTTCAGGCCGCATCCATCGTCGAATCGTGTCCTGCATGATCTCTGAGGTCAGTCGATATCTGAATCCCATGATTTGCTGTCAGGCTGGATAGGAATTGGTGAATCTGGGTTTGAACGATTTGAAGACTTGAAGAGTTTAAACAGAGAGATAAAGTATGATAAGGTGCTACTTAAGTGTTACTTAAAGTCTGGATAAAGCAAGGGATCAAGAAAATTGTGTGCTCTTCAACAATGGCAATTTAGCAACCCGTTGTATGACAAGCAAGGGAATGTTACCAATGATGGGTACGTGGGGGGTGAATCCATGTCTTAGTAAGTGGATGTTAAGTGGGTTGTAACCCACATATACCTCATGTATACCCTATTCATTAACCACTTACTGGATGCACATCAGGCCAAAATAGCCTTTTTGAATGGATCTGAATTGAGGTTATCTTCCGTCAAAGATCTCACTTTGAAGGGCTTGTGACCCTAGTTCCTGACCGGGAATCTTCAAGCGACCTGGTTTTTGCAAGCAGCTCCAAGACTGTCTTTGGACACACCCAGCTCATCCAAATATGTAGATATCCATATGTATCCATAAGTATCGTCCATAGATATCCATAGATTCTCAATTGGCATTCTCATACTCTAAACAGTTGAATTCGCTGTTCATGGCGACAATTGCCGACAGCAATACATGATTTCACCACTGTTTCAGCCCAAGATTTGGACGGTTGAAACATGTTGAAACATATTGAATATTGAATACCCATTAAATCCCATTCTAACCACTTGGAACACACTCAAAATGGAGACTTTAAAAGGTTGAAATTGGGCATCCTTTTTCAGGCCTTGCTGAGTGCAACCAACTTTGAAGAGGAACTGAGCAAGATGAAGGCGATGGATGAAGATGTTCTGCACGATGGATCTATTGGACCATCCCAAATGGGGATCTCATTTCATCAAAGAAATTCTGGATTCAACGAAGAGATTTTTTGGGGGATTTGTTTAGCAACACAAATGGGTTTTACATCGAAAACCCATGAACATCTTGAGATTTGACTATCAAATCTGGGTAAACCAAGTGGTGAGTTGGATGCTGGCCAGCTGCTATCAGCCTTCTAATTTACCCAGCTGCCATCAGAGATAGTTCACAGTTATGATCCATCCCCTTTTGATTGGCTGATGTCAAGCGGGGCTGACGTCGTGACAGCTGCCCAAGTAGTGTGGAGGTTCACAGGGCTCATTTTGACGATCCCATCATCCAATTTCGGAGTCCCCTAAACTGGCCAAAGCCATGAACTTTTTGATGGCCAACATCTGCGAACACTTCAAATCACATCAATTACTTGATTGGATTCGGGAGGTTGAGCATGAAACAGTCCGGGAGTTTGGTAATTTCAGGGAAACCTGACCTGTCTTGGTTGAGTCAAGTTCCCCTGTTACTTGTTATCATGATATCCTAACGACATCACCGATCCACAGCTGAGGCCTTTTATCGCGCCCGTCACAGTTCCATCATCGATGCTTTGTCGGGCACTAGATTGGATGTTAGGACCGAGAAGTTTGGGATTTTGATGGATTTTGATGGATTTTTATGGATTTTGATGGATCTTGGGCATTGCTGATCTTTGCTGGTTGGCTTCCATTTTGCTGTAAATCCTTGTAGGCATCTACCCTCCGGTCATCAAACCTGGCTGTAAAATCTGCTAGTCACTTACAACCTAGGTACAAAAACACCACGAACACATTGTGGTTGGGTTAGAACGTACAACTTATAACATCTTATAACAATAGGAAGGTCTCTCCCTATGTACGCTAATACGTATTTGTATATATTTATAATATATATATATACAGTGTATATATATATACAGTGTATATATATATATATACAGTGTATATATATATATACAGTGTATATATATATATATACAGTGTATATATATATACATATAATATATACATAATGGTATCCATACATTCCAGTTGCATGGTTCTTGGGATCCGCAGGATCCAGAAATTTCCATGACGCCAGGACCTGTACCATCCCGCAGCTCCATGTGATGCCTTTCGGTCAAGCGCCTTGACATGTTGCAGATTTGCAGATTTGAAGAATGGATGACGTTAAAAATATAATACAATATTTAATATAATGTAATATAATATGATATGATATAATATGA